TTGGTATGTCCAAAAACTCATGCTAATTACATCATTAATTAAAGCTGTTTCAGTCATTTTGAGGGTCCCTTTGAAGGACATAAGGATTCCATTGTTTTTCCTGGAGGCTGGAATAATAGAAACACACTGCAAAGCATGATTTTCCTTATGTTAGAGCTCCCATTATTGCATTTTTATTTGAAAGGTAGATTTTAGAAAGAGAAACCACACCTTTCTTTTTTAAAAGAAGGCACTGACCCATTTTCTCTAGTGATTTGAAACTTGGAAATTAGGCCTGATGTAGTTGAGTGTGTTGGAGAGTTTAAGAGTCTTTTTTTTTTTTTTTTTTTTTTGAGAGTTTAAGAGTCTTGATGTGGAGGAAAACAACCGAATACAGTCACAATATGAAGCATGCTTGCCACCATGGCCATTTGGGAGAGGGAGGTGTGGACAGTTCAGGTTCCTGCTCCCAGAGTAGTTGAGTGCAGTGGGGAAAAAGTGCATTGATTACATGTCAGAGGCTCCTGACCGATGATGCTGTCCGGTTTCTGTTTAAACATGCTCTGGGTCCATTGAGAAGAGCTCTCTCACCTGTGAGTTTGTCCTTGTATTTCTGTCACCCCTAATTTTGTTGTCAAGTGTCATCTGAGTTATGCTGGTTAATGGTTAGCCTGCTCTGGGCAGGGAATGATAATATGAAGCTTGCCAACTTCCCATGTGTAAATACTCCCAACCAAGGCCAGTAATAAGTGACTAATGTAAAGGCACTGACCACAGATTTGGGAGAAGTCGCACACAGATAGCTCTTTGGCATTCATACTGGTGGCTCCTCCCATCGCTGAGTTCCATATGCAGTAAAGTGTCAACACTGATAGTATAATAACCATAAATAAGGATGGATAATGGTTCATTGACATAGGAGTTTTAAAAGCTCTTCTATACTCATTATCTTACTTCAGCACTGCAGTAATCCTGGTAAATAAGTGCTGTCACTTGCCCCTTTTAATATACTGTCTTTTCTTAAAATAAATGGGTTCTCAGTCTCTTTAGTTATCTCTGTGAATGTTGAGGTCATCCATATGTCCAGAGTGTAGCTGCTTAGAAGTGGCAAGTCTGAGATTCAAACCTGTGACTTTCTTTCCAGAGTCTGCTCTTGTAGACACTATAAGATAAAAATAATTATTCGAGTTTAAAAAGTGTGTTGCATGTCCTGTAAGCTTTTTCTTTTCTGGCTGTAAGCATCCACCGTTCTTATGAAATCATTCAGTAATTCGTTCAGCTTACTTAGTGTCTGATGTGTGTCAGGCACTGTTCTATGAAGTTGGTCTGCATCAGTGATCAAAATAGTAAAATATCGGGGCACCTGGGTGGTCCAGTTGGTTGAATGTCCCACTCTTGATTTTGGCTCAAGTCATGATCTAATGGGTTCATGGGTTCGGGCCCCACATCAGGCTCTGAGCTCACAGTGTGGAGCTTGCTTGGGATGCTCACTCGCTCTCTCTCTCTCTCTCTCTCTCTCTGCCCCTCTACTGCTCACTTGCATGCTGTCTGTCTGTCTCAAAGTAAATAAATAAACTTTAAAAAGAACATTCTAAATAAAAAAAACCCACTAAAATGTCTTCATTCTCATGGAGAGAGATAGACTGTAAATTCATGTAAAAGCAATGAGTGTTGCATGTTATGAAAAAAAAGGTAGAACCTAAGAGACGGTGATAGGTATGCTGGAGGGGCTTGGTTGCAGTTTTAAATAGGGTGATAATATTCCTCAAATAGCTTAATTTTCAGACCTTTCACCATTGCCTGCTGTTGGAAGGACATGCTGTGTTAAGTAATAGTGTTTCCTGAGCACCAGGTGTGGGCTTGCGGGCTCACAGTGTAGACAGGGCTCCCTTTCTTCTCTTGCTTCTCCTAATAAGTCAGAATTGCAGCATAAGGCCCTTCCCTCTTTTTGGACCCATGTCACATTCTTGGCTGGGGCTGATCTTGTGGTCAATGCCTAAACCACAAGTCCCTTTCTAGAGGAACACCTGCCAGCCAAGCCAGGTTTCCGTCAGTGTATCACTTTACCATTGATTGATTGAACCCAGAAGCAGTATTTAACCTTTATCTCTGTGGTTTCTCATTATGCAGGAAACTTACAGGGGCAACTTGATTCATTGGCAAATAAATCTCTATTTGTGACATCTCTCATTCGTAATGCTTTTTGAAGCAGTGTTTTCCAAAGTGTGGGACCACCCATGATGCATGAGGGGATTAGCACCACCTGGCCTTGAACTGAATTGAGGTAAGATGGTCACTCCCCTGGCAGTTCCCTCTCAGTGGGTGTGATTATGTTGAGAGGCAGTCACACTGTGGTGCTGGTGAGTCCTTACCATCTTTTAGCAGTGGCTGATCTATCTTTGCAGATAAGAGAAAGAGAGAACTTAAGTCTTGGGCCTTCTGCATATGACATTGTTTAGCTAGAAATTAATAACACTCTTTTATTGACATCATATTTATCTTTAGTGGTCCCTTTTACTTAGAGTAGATGATGCTGCTTTTCCTCTTACAATAATGAAACAAAATTGACTTTCAAATTAAATCTATTCATGTTAAAAAATGTGTTCATTTAGGAGTGCCTGGGTGGCTTAGTCAGTCTGACTTAGGCTCAGGTCTTGAGCTCAAAATTTGTGAGTTTGAGCCCCACGTCAGGCTCTGTCCTGACAGCTCGGAGCCTGGAGCCTGCTTCGGATTCTGTCTCCCTCTCTCTATGCCCCTCCCCTGCTTATACTCCGTCTCTCTTCTCTCTCAAAAATAAATAAACATTAAAAAAATTTTTTTAATGTGTTCATTTAAAGAAATACAAAATAATAGGTGGTTTTCAAGTATGACACAGTAGGTAGTTCTTCAGTATCTGAAGTTTGGCTAATATTTATCTAAATAATTTTGCATCAAAAGTAGACATAAATCCTTTTAAGAACCCAGGTCATGGGGCACCTGGGTGGCTCAGTCGGTTAACTGTCCGACTTCGACTCAGGTCATGATCTTACGGTTCTTGAGTTTGAGCCCTGTGTCGGGCTGTGTGCTGACAGCTAACTCAGAGTCTGCTTCAGTTTCTGTATCTCCCCCTCTCTCTGATCCTCCCCTGCTCACACTGCCTCTCTCTCTCTCTCTCTCTCTCTCTCTCTCAGAAATAAATAAAACATTAAAAAAATTTTTTTAAGAACCCAGGTCGTAAGATAAGTAACATTTTATTTTTAAAAAAAATTTTTTTTAATGTTTTATTTATTTCTAGCAGAGAGAGAGAGAGAGAGAGAGAGAGAGAGAGAGCAGGGGAGGGTCAGAGAGAGAGAGAGAGAGTGTCACAGACTCTGAAACATTCTCCAGGCTCCGAGCTGGCAGTCAGCACAGAGCCCGAAGCGGGGCTCGAACCCACGAACCGCAAGATCATGACCTGAGCAAAAGTCGGACGCTTAACCGACTAAGCCACCCGGGCGCCCCAAGTAACAACATTTTAAAACATAAGAACATCTCATTATAATTACATATGTGAGTTAAGAGCTTGGACTCTGGAGCCAAACTCTTGATATGAATCCCTCTTTTACTAGTTGTGTGATCCTGCGTAAGGTTCTCCATGTGTGGTGCCTTGGTGGGCTTATCTGAAAAATAGGCATGAAAGTATTTGCCTCAGGGCACCTGGCTGGCTTAGACTGTAAAGCATTCGGCTCTGAAATCTCTGGGTTGTGAGTTCAAGCCCCACATTGGGTGTAAAGATTACTTAAAAATAAAAATTAAAAAAAGAAAAAGCATTTCGCTCAGAGGGTAACTGTGAAGATTAACGAGTTAGCGCGTGAAGGATAGTTACGACTCTACAAGTGTGAGCTATTTTTATTTTTTTAAGACGTTGAGTTTGTTCATTCCTATCAGCCTCACCAACGTGTTCTAGTTGGGAGAGGAGTGATACTGAATGTTCTGGGTGATGTCGCCAGAAAAAGGACTAAGCCGTATTGTGGTCATTTTGTGAACAAAGTTCTTGTTGTTTTTCTCCCAGCTCTGGATTGAAACATTCTGTTTTCACTGCCTGTGCTGTTTATAGTTGTCCTTGTCTGGTCAAGGTGGGCTTTTTCACCCTGAGTCCGGGCAAGGTGCCCTTTATTGTCATCTCACTTGACCTTTTAGCCAATTTCTTATGTATAAACAACACATGAAAACACCACCTGGACTGAGGCTTTTACTAACTTTGGAATTAAATTCCAAAGGAAGCGTCAGGGACAATTCAATAGTTGAGGAACCGGAAATTGAAAGGTGGCTTCCACATAGGTCTGCCTTTACTCCTTCTGCCATCTCATGGTTAAAGTATAAATAAAGTCTCCTGCATTACTGGATGAGCAGTGGAAATAAACAGGCAGAGACCCATGGCTCAGAGCACCATGTCCCGTGGGAAGCCCCGTAGGACTTGGATTCCCCTAGTGACAGAAAATGCTTTATGGAGAGATAAAAGGATCCAGTGGGCAGACAAATTTGGGAAAGATCTGATACATAGAGCTCAACAGATTTATCTCTCTGTGTGTCTTCTCAGTGGATTTTATGTGTGGAAATGTATTATATTGCTCTAAGAATGAAAATAATAGTACATTTTTATGTATTTACATATATGTGCTTTACACGTATTAACTTATAAATCCTCGCATTGGCCCCCATGTCTGTTTGTTTTGATTTGGTATGTAAGGAAATGGAAGCTTGGAGAGTAGTTTGTGGAGTTTCATAAACTCATCTGACCAGAGACTGATTTTGAGCTACGCCTTGCATGGCTGGCAGCAGTGGAAACGTGTTCTATGCTCTGAGCAAACTCATGTATAGGTAGGTAATTGTGGACGTACAATGGCCTTGCTCTGGTTTCTGTTTGGGAAATGATGGCTTTTCTGAGAATCCGCATATTGTACAGATTTGCCTCCCTGTGATACTCTTGCTTGATTTGATACCAGAAATTCTTGAAGAGGGATGCATATATCTTAAAGTGACAGGTTTAATTTTCCAACTGCACAGCCTCCTGGATGGGGAGAACAGATCCCCTTTCTGCAGACAGGTCCTTCTTCATGTGGGCTTTTTACTAGCTTCTCTTGAAGCCTGGGACTTGGTGTGTGGAAAGGGAAGACAGCTTTGAATAGGGCCTGGGATCCTGCTTTAGTCAAGCGAGAGAGCATCTGATTAATAAACCAGTGAAATCCTCCTCAACTTAAAGGAATTAAAAAAAGCTACATTTTTCATCAGGGTTTCAAATGCACATCAGTTGGTAAAGAGCCAAAATGGCATTTTTACAGATGGTCTTAGCTTCAATTATTTATACATTTCTTTGAATTATTTCCATATTACACAAGTGATGAAATCATGTTGGGTAAATTACTGCCTCTGCTCCCCTAAACAGCTCATTCTAATACTTTAAAAATTCTACAGTTATTTCCCATTACTCTTAATATAAAATAGAAATTCGCTAATACTGCCTCCAAGATCTGGCCCTTGTCCTTTACAGCTTCAGGGCCAATGCTAGTTCAGGTTGCCTTTTTGTGCTAATAGGATAATAACAGTATTCTGGTTCGGCTATATGTATAGAGAGGGCTATATTTTTAGCCCATGCATATTCCTTGGCCAGGTGCCCTTGGGTAGTGCACAGCCTTTACAGCTGCACATGACTGACCCGCCTAATCTCCTATTCCCTGTAACGTCCTTCATGTTTTCTTGGTAGTTCTCATCACACTTAAGATGACTTATTGAATGTCTCCCATTCTTGCTAAAGGATAAACTCCCTAAAGGATGGGCCTATATTTGTCATATTTACTACAGTATCTCTAAAAATGAACAAAATGCCAGGTTACCTAGTAGGCTCTTTATGATGTTTGTTGGTCATGATGTTTATTGAATGCAGGCTTGACAATTGGCCGGCATGGGTGTGCGGATGACTACAAACGGAAGGAAAAGTAAGCTTAGATTTTACATGGAAGAACTAGAAATCTTTTGCCTAGGGTATGTCAACCTGGGATCTTAGAATCAAACTTAGAGGTTTGCGTGGAATAATCAAGTTTGGTTTAAGCAATTCTCACCCCTTGGGAGGCTATATTTTGCAAATCTCTTCTGTTGTGAATGTTTTGTGTTCAGATAGCCAGATGTTCCTGCTATCAAAAAATGGTATGTTTTCCTAGTATGTGCAGTGCTCTCAGAGCTTATCAGAGACATAGCTGCAGTTGGGGCTTCCACTGACTGTTGGGAAGGGCTAGGAATACACCACTGGTTGTTATTTGATACTAACCTCGTGATCTTCTGACATGCTGGTTCCCATTACTGTCTCTCTGTTCACAGAATTTCTTTGGGATGTGATGCTACATTGGTTGGATCGTTACATTCTCTTCCCAGCTGTATTGGTTTCCAAGGGTTACCATAACAAAATATGACAAAGTGGGAGGCTTAAAGCAAGAGACATGCGTTATCTCACAATTCCAGAAGCTACAAGGCTCAGATCTGTCTGCAGAGACATGCTTCCTTTGCAGGCTCTTGGGAGGAAGCCTCTCATGTCTTTTCCTCACTTGTGCTGGTTATTGGTCCTTGGCGTTCCTTGGTTTCTACCCGTACCTTCCACTTTCTTCATCCCTCTTCATATGACTGTCTTCACTCTGTGTATCTGAGTTTTCCCTGTCTTCTTTGAAGGATACAGAGTGGATTTAGGGCCCACTTTCATTTATTATGACCTCACCTTAAGTAATAATATCTGCAGGGGCACCTGAGTGACTTAGTCTGTTAAGTGTCCAACTTCGGCTCAGGTCATGATTTCATGGTCTGTGAGTTTGAGCCCTTTGTTGGACTCTGCTGACAGTTGAGAGCCTGAAGCCTGCTTCTGATTTCTGTGGTTTCTCTCTCTCTGCCCTTCCTTGCTCATGCGCTGTCTCTCTGTCTCTCTAAAAAATAAATGTAAAAAATAAAAGTTAATAGTAATACCTGCAAACATTCTATCTCTCAATAAGGTCACCTAAGTCTCAGGTGGATGTGAATTTTGGGGGAGTAGGGGCACTATTGAGCCTGGCACACCAGAGTTCAGTACTCTTTAAGGCTGCTGGTTTGTGAGGTAGGTCTATGCGCCACTGTTCTTTGTGTGACCTCGTTCATATCATGTCATCTCTTAGAGTCATTCTCTGTAAAAGGGAACTAGTATTTTAGGAGGTTTTCAGGATTAAATAAGATGGTATACATAAATCGTGTGACACAGAGCCCGCACATGGTAAAAGCATTTAATACACTCATTATTATTTCTTTCCTTCATATCTAACCTGAACCTAAGGATATTTTCTAAATTTCTTTTTACTGATATTCCAAATCAATTCAGATTTCCTTTGATGCTTTAGTTTTTTTTTTTTTTTTTTTTGGTACTTTGTTGATTTTTTTTTACTTCAACTTTTTTAGTGTTCATTTTGAGAGAGAAAGACAAAGTGTGAGCTGGGGAGGGGCAGAGGGAGAGAGAGGGAGACACAGAATAAGAAGCAGGCTCCAGGCTCTGAGCCGTCAGCACAGAGCCAGATGCGGGGCTCTGGTCCGTAAACCGTGAGATCATGACCTGAGCCAAAGTCAGACGCTTAACTGACTGAGCCACCCAGGTGCCCCTGTACTTCTTTAATTTTTATTAGTAGTCTGCAGCCAGTGATCAATCATTTTGATTGATTTTGGTTGATTCTTCTTTGGGCAGAGTGCTAACTCCTGGAGAAGGAACGGACTACAGAAGAGGTAAGAGCTTTTGCACTGGCTTTGATTACTCCACTATAGTGGTAAAGTTCTCAAGAAACATGTAAGTCAGTGCTAAAACAGAATGAATTAAGAAAAGTCTTTGCAGGGGCGCCTGGGTGGCTTAGTCGGTTAAGCGTCCGACTTTCGCTTAGGTCATGATCTCGCGGTTCGTGGGTTCGAGCCCCGCGTCGGGCTCTGTGCTGACTGCCAGCTCAGAGCCTGTTTCAGTCTGTGACTCCCTCTCTCTCTGACCCTCCCCTGCTCACGCTGTCTCTCTCTCTCTCTCCTAGAAATAAATAAAACATTTAAAAAAAAAAAAAAAGTCTTTGCAGATCAAAAAAAGTTTTTGATTGCACATTGGCTTGAAAAAATATTATGTGGTAGGGTTCTTCCAACTTGGCACAACCATGTTAAATAATTTCTGTAGTGGGTTGAAATGGTAATAAAAGTCAAAATAATATGTTTGCATTTTCTATGCAATTATAATTTGAGCTGAAGTTACTTTGGCAATGGAGTAGATTATAAGTGTAAAATTGCAGCCTAGTCCCATTTTGCACTTAGGGAATGTCAATGTTGTAATATAAATTAAAACCCATGTATAAATAATCATGAGGGATAATTCAATTTAGTTAATTTTCATTTTCTTCGGAAATGTAAAATTGAATAAAAGTTAAGACTCTCTTGGAGAAGGGACAAAAATGGGCTAAAATTTAATTATACTGTAATTGTTTAAAAAAATTTTTTTTAAGTCCCAGGAAAGAAAGAAGTTTATAGATACGGAATGCCTTGAGGTGATTGATTCTAGGAGAGGAGAGATTAGGTTTCACCCGAGCTTTACCATGTATTGTAGCCTTAAAAACACATGGTTTAGGATTAGAAATTCATACGGTGTTTGTATGTGACAGAATTTGATTGAAGATCCAATATGTTTTGTTCCACACTGCTTAAAACCAAAAGGAAGGTAATTTAAAAGCCACTTGTTCTTGAATATCGTTGTATCTTTAATGACAGTCATACAGGTCTCAGAGAAGACGGCGCAGTCTGGGGTATTTAGTTGGAATAAAATAAAACAGCAGAATAGATGTGGAGACCAGCACTTTAAATGGGTGGAGGGGTAATGTGTGGAAAGGAAGTTCACTTTGTTCTCTGTGGCCCTAAGAGATGGGAACAGAACTATGGGAATAAGTGGTAACATGTAAAACTCCCTAAAAGAAGGTGTCGAAGAAAGCTTCCCTCCATTGACATCTGTGCTCTCTCTAAGCCTAGTAGGATTGGTTGTTCTAAGCAGAAGCTTTGAGTTGACTCATGTTGAATGTGAGGTTGGACCTTAGATCTCTTCATTCTTGAGTTTCCAGGATTAAAAAATTTTTTTCTTTTAATGTTTACTCAGTTTTGAGAGACAGAGAGAAACAGAGCGTGAGCAGGGGAGGGGCAGAGAGAGAGAGAAACACAGCATCGCAAGCAGGCTCCAGGCTCTGAGCTGTCAGCACAGGGCCCGATGAGGGGCCCGAACCCACAAACCATGAGGTCATGATCTGAGCTGAAGTCAGGCGCTTAACCGACTGAGCCTCACAGGTGCCCCTGAGTCTCCAGGATTTTTAGGTTGATGACCAGTAGTCTATGATTGAAAAAAGTTCGAGGGGCAAGGTGATGGAGGGTCTGGAATGTTTGTCTACAAAGTAGAGTTTTGATATACATTAGTAGCTGGATATTAGGGAGAGGCTAAGACTGCTTGACGCCTGGCGTAATAACAGAGAGGGTTGGGGGATGGAGTCTGAAAGAGGGAGATTGAGAGACAAAGGTAAAGAGAGGATGGACAAGAATATATCCAGGTTCCCTCATGGATGCCCTCTCTTCTGTAAGCATTCTGGGAGTTAAGAAATGGAAAATCAAGTTTCTCTTACATACGTAATTTCAGATTGAGGAGTCAGCATTTTGTCTCCTGAGTGGAAAAGAAAATCTCAAATTCATTGATGCCAGTTCACTATTCTCCAAAGGAAAAGCTGACAACATTCTGTTGAGCAATGGCCATGAAAGCTGATAGTCTCCTTAAATCACTGTTTACCATGTTTCCTGATTTCATGTGCCAGGTGGGGCCCAGTAGACACACTATTGTTGTCTGCTAGAGTAAGAAGGGACTCAAGTTTTATACCTGTAGCTACAGTTTAACTCTTAGACACTTTTTAGAAGCATTCTCCTTATCTTGCATTTCTTATTGGGACAGTTTGAAAAGAAGAATATTTAAAATATTCTCATTTTAAGCGAACATTAACATTTTTTAAAAAAGTTTATTTTTGAGAGAGACAGAGACATTAAGAGCATGGGAGGGACAGACAGGGAGGGAGCAAGAAAGAGTCCCAAGCAGGCTCCGTGCTGTCAGCACAGAGCCGGATGTGGGGCTCGAACCCACAAAACCATGAGATCATGACCCGAGCCGAAACCAAGAGTCGGACACTTAACCAACTGAGCCACCCAGGTGCCCCTAAGCTAACATTAATTTTAAGGTGATGTGTTTAGCCACCAAGCAATAGGATGAAAACAACTCTTTTGCTACTAAAAGAAATCAGTTGAAGAATGTTGTGGAGCTAGATATTTCTATGGAACCTGAAAAGTGCAGTGTACAGGTGAACATTGTCAACCCCAGGGTTTTCTTTTTTTAAAAGATTTTATTTTTAAGTAATCTCTACCCCTAACGTGGGGTTTGAACTCACAGCCCCAAGATCAAGAGTCACGTTCTCCCTAACTGAGCCAATCAAGTGCTCCTCGGTTCCTAATTTTTAAACAAGGTGAACAAAGATGAAGAGTGCAGATGGGCACCTGGGTGACTCAGTCTGTTAAGTGTCTGATTGTTGATTTCTGCTCAGGTCATGATCTCAGAGTCCATGGGTTCAGGCAACACGTTGGGCTCAACACTGTCAGCTTGGGATTCCCCGTGTCTATCTGTCTGTCTGTCTCTCTTTCATTGTCTCTGTCCCTCCCTCCCTCTTTCCCTCCCTCCCTCTCTCCTTCTCTCCCCTTCCCCTCCCTCTGGCCTCCCTGCTCATGTTCAGTCTCTGCCTCTCAAAATAAACAAACATCAAAAAAAAAAAAAAGTAATATACTTAAAAAAATAAGTGCAGACAATTAACCAGATATAATTATGTTAAGTTCTTTTTAAAATTATAAGTGCTCTTCTGGGCATTTAATAGAAACCCTTAAGGATGGGAATTCATTTGAAATGATTCTGATGCTACCTCAGTATGTAGCCCTTCTAGAAGCTTGGTCACCATAAAAATAATTTAGTCACATTCTGACATTTTTCTGTGTAGCTCTTTTTTTTTTTTTTTTTTTTAAGTAGATTTTATCTTTTAGAGCAGTTTGAGGTTCACAGTAAAGTTGTGGTAAGGTCTAGAGGTTTCTTCGATAGCCCTTGCGCCAGTGCATGCATAGCCTCCTAGTGATCAGTACCCCCCACCAGGGTGGGACATTGATTACAATTGATGAGCCTACATTGGCATGTCATTGTCACCCAGAGTCTATAGTTTACATTAAGGGTCACTCTTGAGATTGCATATTCTATGGGTTTGGATACTTGTATGACACGAATCCATCATTACAGTATCATGCAGAATTTTTTCACTAACCTGAAAATTCCTTGTTCTTCCTATTCATCCCCCCCCCCCCCCCCCCAGCCTCTGGCAACCACGGATCTTTTTACTTTCTTCATAGTTTTTCCTTTGCCACAGTGTTACATAGTTGGAATTCTAGAGTATGTAGTCTTTTCAGATTGGCTTCTTTATTTAGTCCTGTGCATTTAAGGTTCCCCCATGGTTTTTCATGGCTTGATAGCTCATTCCTTTATAGTGGTGAATAATACTCTGG